CTTTCAGATGGTAAAATGCTTCTCTAGAGTCAAGAACTATGGTGTTATTTCAAACATAGCAAATTATCAGTTCTGTAATTTCCTATATATAAATGTACTTTGTGAAAGGCTTCTATGACACATAAAAAAAGCAAAATGCTGAGGAGATATTTGATGTATCAGTTGCTTTGCTGTGGCTTTTAAGTAAAGAATAAAAAGTGTCATAGAAGGAAGGTTTGCTCTTTTTCTTTTCTCTTCTGAAATCCAGCCCTTCCCTGCCCAAATGATGAAAGTTATTGTGTGGTTTTCACTGTTTAGAACTTCAGCAGACCAAAGAGCTTGTGCAGCCTGATCAGAAATATCAATAGCATAGGACAACAAGGGATCAAGGGGGAAAAGTGGCAGGGTAAGGAATCAGAGAACATAGGGAACAGGAAAAAACATTAAAGAAAAAAACAAGTCAAAAGCAGCATAAGAACAGTAAAAAAAGACAGTGGATAAAAAAAAAAATCCTACAAGTACTGTAATAACAGAAAAGCGAGATGCTTGCAGAGAAGCATTTTATATGCACATAAGAATTCAGAGAGAGATGTTTAAAGGGCAAAATATTAAGTTCAGACAGTACGATCAAAGAGGATGCATGAGACAACAAAGAATATGACAGAAATGACATAGAAAACAGTAAATGAGACAGAAATACCAATTTGGGTCCCCATTCTACTCTAACCCTATAACCAGAATGGAAAAGACTCAATGTTTGTATGATTTGCTTATTAAGTAATATACTTCAGTTGATAAGTTTGAAACTTTTTTTTTTACATAATGGCTAGTATGCAGCTCAGCTGGAGAGTGTTCAAGCATTCAAGAGACCCTGGTTTTAATCCCAGCACTATAAATAAATAAATAACTGGCTGCATAATTATATAACTACCTATTTATCTATGTAACACATGCTTAATTACTTTATAACAAACCTATTTGTTTAAAGTCTCAAATTAAGAATAGTGTTTTTGTGTCCAGGCGAATCCTTTCTGCCATCTGTTGGCAGCATCTCTCTCCTTGACTAAATGTATCTAAACCCTTTTCAAGATATCATGAGAAAGGAGGTTGAAATCTGAAGAGGGATGGATGCACGTGTATCAGTTTGATAAATTTATACTATGCTTGATGGCATTACCCACTGCAACACTTTAATTAAAACACAAGTACTTTGACTTTATTCATCACAAAACTACCTTTCTTTTTCCCACTTAGTACATAAAGAGACACACGTTTACATTCAATTTCAATGCTTCTACAGCTGTCTATGTTCTCTATGTGTGTGTATACACACACACACACACACACACACACACACATATATGTATATATGTGGTGATATACAGATGGAAAGCCCTCATAGCGTAGAGTTTAATGAGACAATTGTGACCTTCCAATTATACATAAACATTGTTTAAAGTATGCAATACATTTCCTAGGTGTACAATCACTTTTTTATTTGGCAGTTATAGAAATACATCCATGTCATAGTGCTTATTTTGGCTAAAGAGCCAATGCTATTTTTTTCTGCTACTGTAGTGTTTTATTTTTACACAAATTAATTCAGTTCTTACATTTAAGAAATAAATACATTTACTGATATCAACCAAGTAAAGCTAAAACATGGTTGTTCTCAAACTAGACCAAAACAGTGACATAACCATTAGGAACAAGGTAAAGATGTCCTTATTTCCATTTTTCACAGATAATATAAATTCTTATTAAATCTCACATACTTATATTAATCTGATTTATCCAAGTAAAAAAAAATTGAATTCAGCCTAATTCTTACAGTCACTTTGAAATTTACAACCCAACCAATTTCTAAATACATGTGCATATTAAAATAAAAGCAAATGGGTTATAAATATATTTAAAAATTTCTGATTATGAAATTTCACAGAGAAGTACATTAAATGTTACTTTGGCATTCCTGTTTCCTAGGCTTAAAGGAACAATAAACTAATAATTCCTTTGTAATGCAAATAATAACTCTTTTGGGAATAAGTAGAAAATATTACATCTTAAGGCAAGAAACATTGGAAATACTTTTTACAGTCATCTAACAACAAATTAATAAAACTGATTCTAAATGGATGCAAATGATTGAATGCTACTTTATGAGAAAGAGAAAGTTCTTTGGAGCTGACTATAACAGTATGAAAAACTTAGCTTTTAAAAAGTTAGTTCAATTTTGACATTTTAGTAACATATCGTTAACCTCTGGGTAAGAAGTAACCACTTTGTTACGTGTAAAAAAAAAATGTAGACAAACCAAACTAGAAAAAATTTTTAAAAAGTAACATGTAAATCATCTGAACACTTATTTTTTTCTTCCAGAAAAGAGGAGGAAAAGTCATTTTCTCAGGACTGACTAATCCAAGGCCCTGTTTTAACTTACATATGGGAGTGAATGAAGGGACTCATGATGGTTAACTGTACTTTCCTGACAATACCACCAGGAGTAAGTTGATGGGTTTTACCCTGAAAGGCTTTAGACTAGTTTAAGTGTTATTTTATTTTTTAATAAAATAACTGCTTAATCCAGTTTTAAGGTAAATAAAAAGAGGCATGTATATCTTCAGTACCCTTCTGCAGTCAGAAATATTCTTTTTAGAAAATGTTTACTTTTCAAAAAAGTCATGTTTCTTCACATACAATAGACTTTTCCTACATTTATTGCCCTGAAATTCTATTTGGTTACTCTTATCCCTTTTGTTAAAAGGCCACAAAGAAAGCTTCTTTGTAATGTTGTAGCTACAGAACTGATCAAAAACTAATCATCAAAATCAAGCACTGAATTTGAAAAATCAACCTCCTGAAGATGGGCAATTTTTTCTGTTTTAAAAAATTGAAATGTGAGAGAGGTGGGGGGATGGGGGAGGAGAGAGGAGAGGAGAGACCCAAATATCTCCTAGAACTCCATTCACCTTGTCTGATGAAATAAATTCCCCATGGTTATCTAATAGCAGCATTATTAAACAGTGCAATTCTTCCAAATTGAGTTCAAACAGTATCTTTCTTAAATAAAATAGTAAGTTCATTCATAGCTTTTGTTTATAAATAAAAATCATGGCATAAAACATTTAGCCTCAGTTGAGTAAATTAGTAGAAGTAATAACTGCCCTGCCCATGAGGTAATGGGAATGAACACACGCACATATGTGTATGTGTGCATCATTCAAAGCCAGTGATACCTCAACAAGAGGGTGAAAAAACTCAATACTAAATGAAAAGTAAAATGTTACATAACATACTTCTAATACTCCTCCATCAGTGAGAATTATGAATAGGCAATTGTTAATTTAAAAATCTGTGTAAGAGGGCTGGGGATGTGGCTCAAGCGGTAGCGCGCTCGCCTGGCATGCGTGCGGCCCGGGTTCGATCCTCAGCACCACATACCAACAAAGATGTTGTGTCCGCCGAGAACTAAAAAATAAATATTAAAAATTCTCTCTCTTCTCT